ACTTTTGTCGAACGATTAAGTAAAGAGAAATTGAACTTCTAGTTGACATGTCTACAAGTTTAGTGAAACCCAAAGTTATTTTGAACACTATAAAGAAAAATTGATCCACTTAATATAACAACAATGAGGACAATATACAATGCAAGGCACTATCATCAAACAAAAAAGGGAGCTGGGAGATCAAAGATGCAACAGTTGTTACGTAAGCTGCTAGAAAAACAAGTATATTGAGCATGGATTGCGCGTGATTTGTTTTGAACTCACTTAATTAATATTGATGTCTTACATAGTTTGTCAGATATACTTATCATGGATTGCGCGTACAAGACTAATAGGCATTGTTTTCCACTCCCAAAGATTATAGGGATAACTTCAACTGATATTACATTTTTTTTGTTGCATTTGCTTTCATTGACCATGAGAAGGAGACAATTACACACGGACATTGACAAGATTGAAGACTCTAATAAATGATGACTGTATTCCCGGTGTGATTGTCACTAATCGAGACTCAGCACTTATGAATGTCATTTGTAATATTTTCTCTAGTACTCGACATTTATTATGTTGGTGGCACATAAATTAAGCAATTGCATCCAATAGCAAGAAACACTTCACATTAGTGGAGGTTTGGAATATGTTTTTTAAAGATTGGCAATGAATTCATCAACATAAGAGGAGTACTTAAATAATTGGCATGCCTTTGAATTTAAATTTATTTCGTTTGATGAAGATATTGACTATTTGAAAACTACATGGCTGAAAGAGTACAAAAGTTTATGGTTGCATGTACTGACACTTGTATGTATTTTGGTACAAAAACAAGTAACAAGTAAGTTTCTATCCTTGTTTTACTTAATATATAACCCCACTTTTATTTTGTCTACTAACTTGGACTAATGAATAGGGCGGAAAGTGCACGTTCAAAGCTTTGACGGGTGATTTGCTCTAGCCAGCTTAGCTTTGAAACTTTGTGAAATCATATTCACTCATTGTTAGAGTTGCATCACACTGAAATACAGACCTCATTTGAGAAGGGTCAGTGTTTTTGTCTACCATATGGTTTGAAGCATGAAGAGTTGAGAGAGTTAAGAGATTTTGTATCCACCAAAGTGTTAATCACAATTGTGTGTGAAGCAAAAAGTAATTTGATGGATTTTCAAAAAAAAATTTCTGTCAATGATAGATTCTCAAATCTCAATCTTCATTCTTTGAAAGGGAGAAGAAACAACATAGAAACCACCTTACAATTCAAAGATGTAAAGTGTGTGGTGTTAAAAATAAAAACATAAATATTTATTTAAACTTAAGAATTGAAGATTGTGGGGTGTATTTAGAAAATGTAGGGCGTATATATGTTGAGAGTGTGAAGTGTGAGGTGTGAGGGTATTATAGAAAAGTATGTGGGATGTAGTAAAACAAATTTGAATTGAAAAAGTAAATTTGGTGTGTCTTTAATAATAAGTGGAGTGTTATTTGTTTTGGTTGACCTTTCCATTAGTACCTAAACTAAAAATGTGATATTTTAGCTAATTTTTTTTTCTCGTAATTGGTAATTAAACTAAACTAAGGGATCCCTTTTAAAAATGTCATTGTTTATCTTTCTATACACAATTTTCTCCCTTGAAGGACAAAGACATTGCCACCGCCTACCATTGCAACCACCAACCTAACACTACCACCACAATCACCACCACTCTTGTTGCCACTGCCACCACAACCGCCATTGTCGTTGCCACCGCCCTTACTTTTAATGCAACCTCTACAGGCTACAGCCACAACCACCACACCCCAGTATTCACACCACCACTATATGCTCCACCACAGTTGTTGCCACCGTCGTCGTCGCCCCCACCCGCACCACCTTGTCCATTTTTTTTATTATACACAGCTATATTGATACACCAAGCACAAAATGTCCACATTAATTTCAAGGGGCAAACTTCTAATTGTATTTCCTTTTCTAAAGTTTGTATTAAAAGAAAATTGCATTCATGATATATTTAGTCACAGCAGAAAAACATGAAGAAATCAAACCCCTTCACTTCCCCCAAGCAAAGAAGTTCACAAACTAAGAGTGAATACAAAATCAACCAGCTATTGCCTCTACTAGGATAACACAAAGTTTGTCACTTATCTCCATGTGATTTGAATGAAGGGGCAGCATATCTGGCCGAGAAATCGCGTTTAGTAGAGTCCTCATCATTCATTTCGTCCCAACCTTGATCGAAGTTCTGTGCATAGCTCAAAGGATCGTACCGGAAACCGCCACCGGGATTTCCAACACTTCTCTGCCTTGTGGTTGTATGTCGTCTTAATCCTCTTATACATGGAAGCTTCAACTTTAGACGTCCCCAGCAGGAAAATACACCTTCGTTTTTGTCTCTAGGAGATGGAATATTCTCCATGACTTGTGGCTTTTGCAGTACATGTAAGTTCCCAGCTGCTTAATATTAAGTGGTAAAAGCTCCCAACATCTCCATCTCTCTCTCTCTCTCTCTCTCTCTCTCTCTCTCTCTCTCTTATGTTTTAAGGATTGTTATTGTGTGGTAGGTAGAGAAGATGGTGAGAGATCAAATGGAATGAGGTCTTTGCGTTTTCAAGGGAAAGAAGAAAGTGGTAGCAAAAATTAAATATTGAAGAGGAAATAAAGTGGTGGGACGTGGGAAAGTGAAAGAACATTTTATCTGGCTACGATTCTCAGAATTTGTTCTGGCACATACAGTCTCTGTTGGCACGGTGAAAAGAGACAGCTTGCAATGTGGGCCTGTGATTTATATGCTTCAACAAATAAACAAGAAGCAATTTGTCTTTGCGGAAAGTAGATAGAAAAACAAAAATTATCTTGAAGTATGAGAGTTCTATTTATTTAGTTATCCCTAATCATAAAAGTAAAAATAAAAATAAAAAAATTGCTTACATCATTTTTCTTCTCCCACACATATCCGTTTATTTATAGCTTTTGATGAAGCAATCAAAGGAGAAATAGAGAATCCAGAAGCATAAATAAATAGGGATGTGCAGCAGTAGAAAATGGTGTGAAGAAGAAAATGGTGTGGAGAAGTCATTTCTCAGAATTAAACATTCGTAACCACCGATATTTGGAGTCGATAGGTGGTCAAGTTTGTGAATAGGAAATTGATTGTTCTACTGGAGGGATTTTTCGGTGTACCCGGCACACCAAAAAAATTTGGTGTACCCTCACTCATAATGGTGAGGGTGCACCAAAAAAATTTGGTGTACCCGGTACAACTAAAAATTTTCCGTTCTACTGACTCTACAACATTTAAGTGCTGAGCCAACTAATCTCAGAAGAATGATGGGTCTATAGAGGTGACATGTAATAGCGTCGATCAATTTGACAATCAAGATTTAATTCTTTCATCATTTTAACCAATGACCCTTGTTTTCATTAAATTTTTTTACCAATAATGGTTTCAAGAATTGATTCCTAAATGCTTATTATGCTAAATATTTCAGAGATTCTCTTATGGATCTCAAGGTTGGCATGCTCAAGCATTGATGCTTGGAGTAATCCTGGCAAATCTCATAATTTTTATTTACAAAATAACCAATATAATGAGTCCATAATTTTATTTAAATACTTACCAATATAAAGAGTCAAAGCTTTGATGCTCATGCATGCTTTCTTTGAAGTCGTTGGATTGTCAAATACCATTTATTTTGTTTAAAATCTCACCAATCTAACGGCACCAAGCATCAAACCGCATAATGTCTAAATTTTCTCCTACTTATAATAGTTGCATCTAAGAAGACTTACGATTTTTCGTCATTTATGAGATTTAAGCGTAAGTCTTCTTACAAATATCATTAAACTATAATACTTATTGGCCACCATAGAGGACTTTGAAATTTTGAAAAATAAAAGAAAAAAATGTACAAAGCGGTGAATTACGTGTAATTATTTGATGGCGACCAAATGATGCAAGAGTTTTGGAAGTTTATTGAAAGAATATCCTATGGATATTATTAATTCCACTTAAATTAGTTCCGTGGATAAACTAGTTAGCCATCTTCTTATCATGTACATACATTTGGTCCTCTCATTTCATTCTTGGTCTGGATTGTTTCAAGATGTGTGAGCCACACGAGGGTCCTAAACCAGCCCTTTACAGTTATCAGGCCAGCTAATCAGCCTATTCTTGTCCTAGGCTCTATACCATAACTTAACTCATGTTTTTTTTATTTTTTTTGGTAACGATACTCGATCCAGAGCAAACTTATACGAAACCTATTTGATTATATCCATCGTTTTGGTTTGATATATTCAATCTAACGGCCAAATTATGATTGTTGACTACAATTTGGATCACCCACGTGACGTTGTAGATGCGTACCGGCGACACTTGGTTTAGTAACTTCACCACAAAGTGAATGCATAAAATGACACCCTCACACATCGTGTATTCGAGACATTATCGCACATCATGTATCTGCAATGTTGCAAGGGAAGAACAGAACCCTAGTGAAGATCATGCATTATCCTCTATGATAACATGGCCTAGTGCAGACAGGACCACCCAATCAGATGTCTGTGAAGATGCATACCAACTCCCTATGAGAACATGGCCTGGTGCAGATATAAGCCACCAAGTTCAGGTATATGTCAATGAAGATGCATGCCTATTCCCTACAATAAGTGCATTAGATGTCGACGACCAGATAACCCAAGTAGTCTAGTTGACAGACCCTTAACTTCTACGTCTAAACTTATTCCATAAGAGCTACTCCAACGCCTTTTAACTTTTATGTGTGAAATAAATTAGACACGGTACCTACTTAGAACCATAGTTACTCTTCAGTATAGAACATCTCAAGCTAAAACAATCGCGAACAATAATTTTAAGAAGCGAGAGTGAGAGAATATAACAAAAAATCACAACATTATGTAGCAATGACGCAATTTTTAACAGCGACTCTGTAGTTAATCAGAGAACTATCATATTGATTACTATTTAGCATAATGTGGAAAAGTTGAATAAGTATAAATATTTTAGATAGTGGAAACTACTTGACAGACAAGCATGGATTCATCGGAAGCACAAGAATCAGATCAAACAAACTGAGGACTTACATGGATATCTAACAAAATTGATTTTGGATTTCGATCCTCAAGACAAAGAAAACGAGTGAATTAATATGTTTGAACACCATGAAAATCATTATCATGGGAAATGAGGCCGACGAAATCCAAAGGCATAATTAAACAATGACCTACCATCCGAGAGTAAAAGTTGAACTGCGTACATCTACATCTTGACTGCCACCTGTTCAGCAGAGCTTTTCTTCACAACCCCTCTATAGCAGAGTTCATTCAATAAATCCAAAGCCTCTTTTGTTAATCCTTCATAAGCTATGCCTTCAATGAGAATGGTGTATGTTACTTCAGTAGGTTGACATCCTTTAGATACCATATAAGCGAGGAAATCAATTGCACGACCAGTTTGCTTAGCCTTGCAAAGACCCAACATGATGGAGTTAAAAGTGATAGCATTGGGCTTGACGCCCGAATCTTCCAAATCATGGACAAACTTAATTGCTTCATCAACCTTTCCTTCTCTGCTAAGCCCTCCCACGAGAGAAGAATAAGTAATTACATCAGGCTTTAAACCCTTTTTGCGCATCTCATGCAAAAGTTCTAAGGCACGTTCTGTTTTCCCCACCTTTGAGAGCCCATCAATCACTGTATTGTATGTGATTAGAACAGGAGAGCAACCCTTGCTACTTAGTTGATTAAGTATCTCAACAGCGCTATCAACCTTTCCATCTTTGCACAAAGCTGTAAGCAAAGTATTGTAGGTCACAATGTCTGGATAACAGCCCCGAGAAACCATTATATCCAAATACTCAATCGCCCTATCCATCTTCTTTTCCTTGCAAAATCCGTGAAGCAATGGGTTGTAACTCAAGGAATTTGGAGTACAGCCATGCTTAGGCATCTTCTCCAAAATGTCAATTGCTCTACCCAACAAGCCCTTCCGGCACAAGAAGTTAATCAAAATATTGAAAGTAACAACACTCGGAGAACAGCCTCTGTGAACCATTTCAGCTAATAGTTTTTCAGCATCCATCCACCTGCCAGTGCTGCACATGCTACGCAAAACAATATTGTGGGTAATGACATTTGGTTGGCAATCAGATGACGGCATGTCATTCAAGAATTTGATTGCTTCATCCAACCTTCCTTCCTTGCATATCCCGTTGATAAGAACATTATAAGTGACCACATCAGGCTTGCATCCTTTGCTCCTCATCTCATCCAAAAGCTTCATCGCCTGCTCAACCCCACTTTCCTTGCATGTTGCTTCAATCAGTATGGTATACGTAATCACATCTGGATAACACTCCCTTTGCAGCTGTCGATCAAGAACTTCCATCGCTTGCTTCAATTTCCCACTATCACATAAAGTACGCAAGATTGTATTGTACGTAACAACATCTGGAGAAACACTCATTCGGTCCAAAACCCTCAAAGCATTATCAATCTCACCAGCCTTGCAGTAGCCACTGATCAAGACATTGTAAGTTATAACATCAAGGATAGCCCCAGATTCTTCTAGAATGTTCATAATCCGCGTCGCCTTCCTTGTCTTTCCACTCTTACAAAACCCCCTGATTAAACTCGTACACGCAATAATATCAGGCATATCACCATGATAAAGCATGTTCTCTAGAAACTTAAACCCCTCTTCTAATTCCCCATTTCTAACCAGCCTACGAAGCTGATTATTACTCTCGAATTCCTCAAAACCATTGGAAGAGTCCATTCCATTCAAACCCCCATGTGGGGTATACTCAACATTCTGCAGCCTACCATTGGAACTAAAAGTTTCGACTTTCGACACAGCAAGTACACGCTTTCGCATATGTTTCTGGTAACCGTCCTGTATCCTACACTGAATGCCATCGGGGAGAACAAGAAACCGAGCTCTGCTGCCCACAAAGAGCCTCCGATAATCGGGAGTGGTGAGAGCAACCTTACCACAGACCCTAGCTCCAAAATTACCGGTCTTTCTTGTCCTCACCCTATCAACTCTGTGAAATGAGCAAAACCCATCAGGGGTTTGGTTCACAGGTACCATCAAATCCATAACTTCACCTATTACTTGTGTATAAAACCCACAACCCAATACTCAAAAAGCCATGCTTAAAGGGAAATACGGCAGAGAAACTGAATATAAACACAGATATTGCAGATATGGGTTGGTTGGGTTGGATTTTTTGTGATGAACAGAAATGAATTTAGAGCAGAAGAGATGAAGCTAGAGAGAGAGAGATTACCCAGAGCAGAGTGAGCTACCTTCGTTTCCAAACAGAAGGAGTATTACATAAGAGAGGGTGCAGACAGCAGAGGGTTGAAAGAAGAGAGTGAAGAGGCGGTGGTGGGTGACAATGTGCCGCCGTTTTGCTTATCCGTTTTATGTCGTTACCTTGTTGCTTCTGCAAAATGCTGTGTAACGAAGAGGGCTTCGTCGTCGTTCGAAAATTGGGGAGCAAATGAGGGGGTGGGCTGGTAGCAGGGCAGGCCTAACTGGCCCTCCTGATAGTGTTTTTCGGCCCAGATGAGGCTCGGTCCAAACATAAAGGTCTGATCTTTCTATTGTCTTCATTTACACCCACAAAAGTATTTGGGAAATTGGTTGAATAAAATATTCTACAGCATCCAAGTATTTTTCATTATTGTTTTTCTTCTCTTTGGTTTTTTAGTGTTTGATTTCTTTACCAATCATGTGTTCTAACTTTTAATTTCGATTCCAAGGATCCAATTTTCACATTGTTTTGTGTGCTTTTTCCGTATGAATTTTGAAATAGATACACAGCACATTGCAGGAGCAAAGTGGATTAATAGAAGGATTAACGACACTTTAGAACTTCCTGTTTGCATTTTCTTTAAGAAAAAGAGAAGTTCATGGTTCATCTTTTAGTGGTTTATTTGTATTCAATATTAAGAAGTTGAATCTCTAGGTTTGCTTTTCTTTTTCCAGACTCTGTTTTGTCCATGAGCAAGGAGCTGGTTTTGTACAAATTTCTGTGTTTATATAGCAGCCAACTAGTAGCACATTCAGAATTCAATTGTTTTTAATGTCATTTGTTTTCTTCTAATTTGTTGTCTAGGATGTTGGAAAGGACAGAAGAAACATTCTTGCTGTTTTTTTATTTTAGGCATTGACATATGTCTTTTTGTTCAGTTGATTTTCTAATCAATTGTTATATATTGTGTGTTTGAAAATGTTTTGTCAAATCAATCTCTTAAACTTTATTTTTCATACCATTTATCACAACGGTACCTTTACTTTTTTAATGATGTGGATATCTTAAAATAAAAAAACACAGTTTTTGGCATTTATAAATCTTTAACCCTAAAAGTCTCTTACAAATACAAATGAAATATAATTTTGTACGTTGCGCCGTGATTAAAAAAAAAATTGTGTACGTAAAAATGCGTGTAGAAAGAATAGTACTTGTATAAAGTGAAAAGGCAAAAGGGACTGGCTAGTATTTGCTCATCATAAATGTATACACGGTGTTTCCCTTATTTGTATTGTCTGGGCCAAGAGCAGTTTTACATGTATGTTTACATGCACCGTTACGTTCACTTTGGATCTTCAGTATGTGTTCAACATGTTCCTAGATTGCACTAGTCAACTAGGACCCGTATGTAGTGCTTAGTGCCAACTCGACATGATTATAGTTCTAAAACTTAAGTTACACACCCAGCTTGTTAATGTAGCTACTTTCTACATGATTTGTGTGATGCTTGCATGATTTTGATGAACATTGCAGATATTATTATTACTGGGTACTCGTATCCTTGAGATTACTAATGAAATTTTGGGTACTTTGCTTTCTTATATACGAGTAGTATGAATTTTGGAAACTATACAGGTTTTACAGCAAAGGTTACTATTTTAAGAAAAATCATGGTTTCACAACACTCTATCGCTCATGTTTTCTATTTTGTGCCCTTCCAATTCCTAGAGGCTGAGCTCTTATGTAGATGAAGAATAATTGGCAATTGCTAACCAGTACTTCCGATAATTTAGGAAGTTAATTTTTTTTTTTTTTTTGGTATAAATATCCATCATTCTAGGATGCGAATATTCTTTACTTTATGATGCACTTGTATTTATGCTTTGACATGTAGCATTGTAATAAGGGTTACTATTTTAAGAAAAACCATGGTTTTACATGCCTTAATTCAGATGTCCAACTGAACATTTCGGGTTAGGATGTGTCAAATTGGTATTAGAACCTAGGTTTTCAAAATTGGTCATATGATTACTCTGATACCAGTTTGCAGAGCAAAGGTCTCCGAGTTCCTTGACTTTTACAACTATGGTTTAACGTTGTATCTTCTGTTAGTTCTAGATTTCTTCTTTGAGTCTTGCCACCTCGACGACGTTGAAAAGCTGTAACGGTCGACTTGCCCGAGGTCTGAAACAACTTACTGTTCTACAATTCGATTACAGTATAGAAAATTGTACTTACTTCGTGACGACTAGAAACTTTGGAACTCATTATCCAATTTTGTTTGGTGTATTTGTTGTGGAAATTTCTGGGAAGAAATTTTCTTACGGGGGTATATTGTTACAACAAGAAATCGACCCTTGAAGCTTGTACCATTATGTTCTTGACAACCCCTGGAATCGTAATATGTCCTTGGATCGAACATTGGAGGAATAACGGTGGTGCGGGGAACGTTGGAAGAATCTCAGCCAATTTTTGTGGAAAAGGCGAGGTTTTCGTCTAACTTCTACATAATTTGACGAAACCAACCCAGATTTGGCCCGACAACCCGATCCATACCTGGTCCAACTCGACTGTAATGTCGATGTCCACACCAACATCCCAATCCGGCTTGACAACCACGTCCGACCCGTTATCTCGAGATAGGACCCAACAACCCGATCTGTTAACTCGAGATTGGCCCTGACGATCCGACCCGTTTCTGAATCCGAATCGGAATATTTTAAGTAAGATTTCGTTACTCTGTTGTTAGTTTTAATGGAATATTTCGTCTGGCTGTAATATTTCATTTTCGCTAATGAAATATTATGTCTTGAGACACAATAGTCATTTTTCCGGCCACCACCTCAGCCACCGCGTGTGGCACTCTTCTACAGTGTGTAGGGGCACGTGCGGCGACGCACAACATACGGTGGCGGATTTGGATTTTCCAATCTCGATTTCAATAGTTAGAGCCCTTTCTTTTGTGACCTTCATATGTTTTTTTAGTGGTATAGTGATTTCTCATATAGGAGAGACTTATCTAGAAGATTTCGTGGGCAAGCAAGGCAATGAGGGTACTACCCTATGACATACCATGAGTGGATCTTTGCTTTCAAATATTATATTATAGTTCCATAAATGTGTTATGATTGTCTTACATGCCATGTTTTGACTTAAAACATAATAAATGTTTACGTTTTATTATTTTATTATTATTCGCGATTACAACTTTGGCATGATCGTACTTATACTATATATCGGCTCATCAAAAATGTTTGCATGGTGTTTTCTTTATTTATACTATTTGGGTCAGGACCGACTTCAGGTGTATGTTCACATGCACCGTTACATTCACTTTGAGTCTAGAGTAAGTACCAACCTACCCTTAGATTGCACTAGGCAACTAGGGCCCTATATGAGTGCTTAGCGCCAGCTTTATGTGATTGTAGTACTAAAATGTAATTTATCCACCAACCTATTCATGTGGCTACTTTCTACATGACTTTTGTGCTTGCATGATTTTGATAAGCATTGTAGAAATTATTAGTATTGTTTTACCTACATCCTTGAGATTATTACTACTTTTTTGGGTACTTTGTTTCTTACATATGAGTAGTATGAATTTTAAAAACTATACAAGTTTTACAGCTAGGGATTACTATTTTAAGAAAAAACCACGGTTTTACATAACTTTATCTTTTGGCCACTCACGTTTTATGTTTTACTCCTATTAAGGACCTAGAGGCTAAGCTCTTGTGGAGGTGAGGAATAATTGGCAATTGCTGGCTAGCATTTCCAATAAGGTAGGAAGTTAATATCCTTTTGTATAATTTAAAATCCATCCTTCTGAGATGGGAATATTCTTTATTTTATGTTTCACTCGTATTTATGCTCTAACACTTTGCATTATATAAGGGTTTCGCTCACATGCGCACTCTTATTTCAATTACTTAAAGTTTTAATTTACTCATACTTTTCCACATCACCATCATTTTATGGCTTCGTCACATTCTAGTGTCGGCTAGCATGTCGGGTGTGCAGATGGACATTCCGGGTGAGAGTGTGTCAAGGACGCTTATATACACAATATCTAGTCATCGAATTCGAATCAATATGACCCACTATCTAGGCCTGGCAAACGGGTCGTGTCTATCGTGTTCGTGTCGTTTTCGTGTAACACCTGTTATCTTAACGGGTCGTGTCGTGTCACACCCGTTATCTTAACGGGTCCTTAACAGGTCGTGTCACTTTACCCAACGGGTAAAGTGACCCGACCCGTTATGACCCATTATGACCCGTTAAGAAAAAAAAAAAAAATTTTTTAATTTGCACATACCACACATTGCCACATAAATATTACTTCAAAACATTAAAACATTTCTCGTTCAAGTACTATATCTACACTCGAAAATAAAAGCCTAATAAAAAAAATAATACATACACTACTAATATATTACAAATATTAAATGTGCAAGGATAAAGAGTTTTTGTTTTTAAGATTGTAAGTCTTTCTCAAAAGTTTACACTTCCATTTACAAAATCTTCAATTTACATCGATCATCATGAAATTGTATTCAATTTACACCTACATCTATATAATTATTATAGTTTTTACTTTTTAGGGATATAAAATTATTAAATTAATGTATATAATTATTAATATTATAGTTGATTCATACTTTTATTAAGTATATAAATTATAACATAAGATTTTGTGATATCCACATCCACTAGTGTAAATATTTTAAATTGAAGATCAAATTCATTCTTTGTATTCATATAAGGTCAAGGAGTGTAGCTGTAAAAATTCATCAAAATCAGAGTTAAAATAACCGTTAAATCGTGATTTTTCGTTTATAACCGTCGAAAAGCTTTGTCCCGTTACTTGATCTCTGAATGTTTTTTTTTTGTGATTTTTTGCTAATGTGATCTCCAAGCATATACAAACAATTTTGACGGTTTGGATCGTTGAAATTAGTTTTGGAGAATTCGTAAAACGATAGATTGACTAACATTTAGAGTTTATTTATACTTTCATTAAGTATAACATAAGATTTTGTGGTATCCACTTGTGTAAATATTTTAAATTGAAGATCGAATTCATTCATTGTATTCATATAGGGTCAAGGATTGTAGTTATAAAAAATCATCAAAATCAGAGTTAAAATAACCGTTAAATCGTGATTTTTCGTTTATAACCGTTGAAAAGCTTTGTCCCGTTACTTGATCTCTGAATGTTTTTTTTTTGTGATTTTTTGCTAATGTGATCTCCAAGCATATACAAACAATTTTGACGATTTGGATCGTTGAAATTAGTTTTGGAGAATTCGTAAAACGATAGATTGACTAACATTTAGAGTTTATTTATACTTTCATTAAGTATAACATAAGATTTTGTGGTATCCACTTGTGTAAATATTTTAAATTGAAGATCAAATTCATTCATTGTATTCATATAGGGTCAAGGAGTGTAGTTATAAAAAATCATCAAAATCGGAGTTAAAATAACCGTTAAATCGTGTTTTTCGTTTATA